TTAAACTAGAAAAGCCCATATTGATAGTAGAATGAGAGCTTAAATTATATATCACATACATTAGACTTTTTAAATGTGTTTAAACATTAGTAATTTATTGAAGCACCAAATTTACAGCCACGAATAAGCATATGCCGGGAAAACTCATATCTAAGATCGTTTCAAAGTTGCTCTCCAAATCTGTGCTTCATTGTATGTTAGTTAGTAGACCATAAGACAAGGTATTTTTAAACTATTAATTACTAATGTATCTTCAATCTTTACCCCCTTTTTGGGATTTTTTATGGTCAATGTTGCTAATGAAATGTTATTTATTTGAATTGCAGATTTCGTTGGTTTCTTTCGGTGAGGCCATATTTATTTTAGGTTTAATAAACTTTTAGGTTCAAACTCATTTTCCTAATTCTGTGGCCTTGATTTGACTATGTTTATAGTGGTAATTGGGAAATAAGTTGAAAAAATGTTTCTTCTCTATATTCCTACTGTGGTTGACAATTTCACTTGTTTACTGGTCAGGATTTACTATTTGAATAAGGGTAATTATAAATATATATTTTTCCATCTACTATTGTGCTGTCTTTGGAGTTTATTTGACTAAAAGGAATTGAAAATGGTTGCTTTGTGAAGGCTTAATGTTAGTTAAATTCGTCGGACCTTGTGTACAATAATTTAATTTTTGATTATATGCTGGTTTATGGACTCAATGGGTCATTTTGTCTCTATGTTGCCCACTGTTTTGGTGTCATAAGGCAGGAGCGAGACAAGGCTGCCATAAGTATTATTTATTTATTTCTTATCAAATCAGTTTTTATTTAGCTATTTTTGGATGGAAACAAGTTAGTAGCCTATTTTAGATTGTCAAGTAAAACTTTATTACAAAAATCTAGGTTATATCCTAATCATTAAACTTAATAAATTTTATCCTTATTAATATGATACAGAGAATGATTTACCTCTGGTCTTGGAGAAAGAGGGAGCTTGATAGCATTTGTAAGAAGCAAGTAGGTAAAATTGAGCATCTAAACCAACTAGTAATAGAATATTTTCCTGTTGTAAACTGTTTGAACTATAATTGTGTTTTAAATTGGTCTAGCATATAAATTTGGTCTAACATTTATACGATAAAAATTATTATGACTTGATAGGTCCATTTATATATTATTTGGCTCCCAAAATTTAAAAAACATGTCATGTTCTTTCAAAAGAATAAGCATTTTTGCCAAATTAGATAGACAACTCTAAATGAGCAGGTCAAACCTTGATATTTCCATTTACGCATCGTCAAAGATTCATTTCAGGTACATTTAACCCAAAGCAATGAAAAATAACTTGGATTCAAAACCCCGTATGAAAAATTAAAACTCACAAACATAATTGCAATTGACATCTTCACTACGAAGAAGCTTGAAGATATTGTCTTCAAGGGGAGGTTCTCATCATTTTCATAACATAAACTAATCTATGATCTTGGCAAGAGCCGGCTAAATAGACCATTTTCTACACCTGTTTAACAATCTGATGTGATTCCATTCTACCTGCTTCCTAAAATGCATCATGGGCTGAAAAAGATCAAGACTGATTACAAAAGGAATATGAATATTAACGCTGTGATCTACCTGGATTAATATGAAGTTGGCACTTGTTCTTGAATGTACAGAACATCTTGAAGCTTAGATTTATTGCACAAATGTCTGCCACTGAAGCAAGGAAAGAAGCTTTTGCTGCAGAAAGTTACATCGATCTCTAAGGTATTATATTCTTCTATTTTGGTGTAGGGATCTTATGTATTCTTTCTTTTTGGAAGGAAAAAAGTTATTTTTGATGACCTTTTCGATTTCATATGCACAAGCTATCCAAGTTTTAATGTTGTGTTGTTGAATTGGTGTTAATCCTTCAATTTTCTCTCCTGCCTTTGTACAAAATTTCCTTCAAATTTCATAGAGGGTGGGAAATTTTCCACAAAAATGGACCCTGAGAACCTAAGGAAGGAGAAGTTCTACAGAGGTGTTTTAGTGAGAGAAGGGGAATCTTTTTGATGGGGTCATTGGGACAAGATCAGAACAAATATTTTTTTTAATTGCTTTTGATTTAGTCACTTTTCAAGATTTTCTCTTGCTCAAACAAATGTTATCTTTTTGGTGTATAAATTCCCGATTTCATTTTAACACTGTCCAGTTTGCATGTCATGAAAGAATTTATTGTCAATGCCTGTCTATGATGTCAACATTTTATATTTGTACTATAGTTTTCATCTATGAATAGCAACACATGCTTTTATTTTCACTCATGCGGTAGTCTTTATCTGTAATAAGGTCTTGTTTCCATTTTTTTGCAACCATTGGCTTTCCTGGTATCATCTTTATTTTATTCTGAAACCATTAAGTTTCATTGGATTGACTTCTGTGGCTTTACTATTGGCTTATTTTTTCCTGACATCATTTGTGTCCTGCAGTCTTTGCAACTCTATGTGATATTGAATGTATTTTGTTTTGATGAGTATGTTTTAAGTGTCAAGAATATTTTTTTTAGAGTTTGGAAATGGAGAACATGAATTAGAGCAATACCACCACACTGGCTGGTATATTGTTTACTTAGGAAGTTAGGATAAATGTTATATTGTAGTTTCAAATGTGTGACCTTTTTAATTATAATTTGCTTTTTGTTGCCTGATTGGAGACTTAAGAAAAAGAAGTTTGGAAGAGCAATTTTTAGTAATATGTGGTTTATAGCCTATGGGGTTTTCAAAGATTTCTTGATTTGTTATTTAAGGGATTTTTTTAAATGAACAAATTCATAGATTTACACTATTCTTTATTGTGAAATCGCTGTTGCATTTGAAATCTTCATCGAGATTATGTGCAAAAGTATGATGGAAGAAATCTTCATGCTGTAGGACCTAGATATGAAACTCAATGATGTCATAAGAATTGAGATTGAAGAAGAAGTGCTCTTCTACCTAAAAATGACACCAAAACGACAGAGTCCACCCGAATATCTATATGAAATAATCTTCATATTCGATTCTTCAACAACAACCACTTATGTTAACTCTTCAAATACAATCAGTCAATTGGATTATTCACCTGCAATGGATGATAACAACAATTCAACCGGGATCAACAATAATTTAAACAAAATAACCACAAAAGGCAAAACCAAAACGTAATTAATAGATATTTTAGTGGCCTTTGTTTCCCTTCAAAATATTTTTTATTGATCTTTTTTATTGCCATTTTTATACTAATCCAACATCTTGTCAAGGCTAGATAGAAATTATGGACGGGTGGGTCAGATTTTCCAGTAAAATTTAGCAACCATACTCTGGAGTGGTGATAAGTAGCCCCCACAGCTTGAGCTTGTTGGGCACTCAATTGTAAGAATGCTTCAATGGGAACTTAAAACGAAGTCAAGTGTAGCTCACTTCCAATGTCATGATAGTTTTACTGAAGTTCATTTCTTATCATGTAAAACATTTCTTTATGTTTTTGACCTCCTTTTCAAGCTGTGCTATGGATCTCTACGATCCATATGGAGGAATGATGGCAGCTTATGGACAGCCTTCGATATGTGCATGAGTGGTAACTTGTGTTTTAAATGCAGTGGTTCATTTCTTATTTTCTTCTCTTCATTATTAAATTGTCACAAGGGAAGTACGTACTTTCTTATAGGTGGGGAGTATGGTTGCCCAGATTCTTGTTTCCATTGTCGTTTAATGTAGTTAGCCCTTCTTTTTGGGAGAACTTCATAATATGTTGTACTTTAAGTTGAGGAATTATAAAAAGACGTCATCGTAGCATGGAGCAACACCTTAAGTAAGGCTCAGAAATGGGCACTGGTGTGGGGAGTTATCTTCGCTAGACTACTTCTACCAGACACACTTGCTATAAAAGTTGATTGCACATGGATTAAAACAAGTGCAGAAAGTTGTAAAGAAGACTACTGAAAATGATAAAAAAATCCCTTTATTAAAGGGTAGAAAAACTGAATAATAATACTAGAGAGGGGAAAAAACTTGGACAAAATCTAGGCAGTTCTTCGAAAACTCAATACCCCTTGTACTATTCTTGAGACAAAAATGCCAAATTACTTGGGTAGACAAAAATTGCTCTCATGCTCCTTATGTTTCATGTAAAGAAAATATGCATCAAACTAAAGTTTTTATGATGTTTCTTTAACTTTTGTGTTCTTTTTGCCTCTTAGAAAGAGGTTATTCTTACTTATTTCGATCCATAGTGGTTCTCAATTGAATTTTGTTGCTAGATGTTGAGATTAATGTTTGTCCAGTATATGTGATGATTTGATTCATAATTTTGCTTACTGAATAGTTGCAATTATATAAACATAATATTGATGGCTTAGTTTCTGATATATAGGCTAAAATCAAACAATGTAAATGTTATACATAATGAGCAAGTATTGGAAGAGAGAAGAAATGCACTACTCGCTCTTAAGTCGGAGGAAAGGAAGGTCAATTTGGGCAACGAACTGAAATCCATGCAACTTCTGTCCAACAAGAACGATGAAGAAGTCTTTATCAAATTGGTGAGCCTATTGTTTTGTTAATGCTAAATTTAGTTGGGTCATGTAGAGTTTAAGTGTATTGATTTCATTGTTGTGAGGTTTTAAGAAGTTTTAAGATGTTGCAAATTTTTTGTTATATGATCTTGAAATTGATATAAATATGGTATACTTTCTTTATAATAATTTGTTTATTTTCAGCATCTCTTCTTCTATTCAACTTGATATTTTCAATTAATAATTATATAAATTTCAATCAACATTCCTAAATGCTGCTATCTCCAACTTCTTCAACAATATTTAAAACTCTACAATTTATACGCTAATAAAAACCGAATAAATATAAAACCCGTGCAACACACGTGACAACGACTAGTTTTAGAGTGATGCTATGTGTAAAAAAAGTTCGATAGATTTCCTGTAGATACACACTTATGATAAAAATAAAGAAAAAAGCAACCATAAAGTTTTGCGAACATACACTACACCAAAAACAGGTTTTCACAACGGGCAATAAACGTTGCTAAAGGCCTACGGCAACGTTCAGGCGTCTGTTGCAAACCTTGACGTTGCTGTTGAGGGTTAAGATATGGCAACGTTCAATGAACGTTGCCGTAAAGGTTTATGACAATGTTCTTTGAACGTTGCGAATAAGAGATACGGCAACGTTCATTGAACGTTGCCGTATCTCTTATTCGCAACATTAATTGAACGTTGCCGTAGGTCATTTACAAATTTTTATTTTATTTTTATTTTTCCTATTTGTATAGCTATTTACCAAATCAACGACAAAATAAAAAATAAAATAAAATTGGCTTGCATAAAATTGATATTATTTTATTAATCAATAGACAAAACACATCATTATAATAAATTGAAGAAATTTTTTTATTAGCATATTGTCCATCAAATAAACATCTTACATTCCTCTCAAACAAAAGAAAATTAACTAGTGCAAGGCCTTCTTTAGGCTGCAGCTCAAAAAAACCTAAATCTACACCAGCAAGTTTAAAGGCTTCCTCGGCATTTAGAGTTTCTCCTGTAGGTCCAACAGCCTTAGAATTAGGCCACCCTATCAACGTACCAGCAATGTAGGACAACAGAACAAGATCACCTGAGGCTGAGATCGTGCCAAGGAGGGGTAAGCACAACGTGATGTTGTGGTTAAGAAACTTGGTTATAGCTTCCAAAATTTCGAATCTGAATGTGGTAGTGTGACAATACTCTGTTCCATTCTCAAAAATTCCAGCATTCAAGAACCTGTCATATTCAATCATAATGCCAATAATTAGAATTTCACAATTCAATTTAATAGCTGCAGAATCTTGTGCAATGTCTGCCAATAAAATCAAAGAGACAATATTTTCTTATTAACATAAAAGAAAAACTAAATTTTTAGTTTTCTTATCAAAAAACAATGGATGCATCCATTCGTAAATATTGAATTGGTTTCAATCTAGATGGCCTCAACTTCTTAAGTGTTTTGCAACTATTAAATATCATTACAAAGACAAGGCATCCACTAATTGAGCTCCTTAAATTCAATAAGCTATAAACAGGAGCACCAGAATTTGTAGTGAAGAATGGGGAATTGTAGGCACTTGAAGCACGGTACTGAATCAAAATAATAAAGTAATAAAATCGCCATAGATAAAAATAGAAAAATACAGTAATTTTAAATCATTTCAGAGTCAGACCAACAACCAAACTTCGAATGATCCACCAATAATGTAAGCGAGGCTTGCGATTTACGGAAAAGACAAGAAATAAATATTACAACATGTCATTTTAAATCATTTCTTACTTTGATATATACAGCTTAAAAAAAGAGTTAGCATGATATTCATGGAGAATTTATTCCTCCAAACAAATCGTATCCACTAGGCAAAGCAATTGCTATGAATCTAAAGGAATGTCCATGTGTAAAAGTTACATACCAACAAAGTTATCGATGGAGGTATCGTTCTTTAAGGGATAAGGCTCACCAGGAACTGAAACATAATAGATAAACCAAAAACAAAAATACATCACAGCCTCGNCAATTGATCATTTCCATTTGTGCCAACAATTAAACAACGTAAACTACTTAACCAAACTCTAAACCCAAACGGTAATATTCCCTAAAATCTTGTTTCAAAAACAGGAACACAAGTTCCTTGCACCAACCAAAACCTTTGTAAACCATTTTGAGCAACACACTAATTAATCATTCACAATAACTTTCTACTTCACCAAATTCAAAAAATGGTTTATGTGAATTTAATTGAGTAAATAAATACAAATTTATTGGCAATGGAGAAAACCATTAAATCAACTTCATATTCGCAAAATAACTCAACCACCAATCACAATAATAAATAAATAAATAAATAAATAAAGCCAAAGCATTAGTGGAAGAAATAATTACCTGAAAATGGGGTGGCAGAAAAAGTTCAAACTGCTTGAGGCTTTTGAAATTGGCGAGACAAACCGATATTTGCAGACAACAGTACACTTTGAATGAGTTTCATTTCACCTATTAATTAATCATCAAACAACATATTGCATTAAAGAATTCGTTTTTTCTAATTCTAAATATATGAAATCAGTAAACAAAAATGAACTTTTGGTTTACTGTAAACAAATTTACACATAAACAAATTTACGCATACTGTAAACAAGAATTCATCTTTTCTAAATATATAAAAACAGTAAATGTTCACGAAATAATTCTTTCGATTTAAAACTACCGCAAGTGTACGGATCGTGACAAGTAATAAAGTGGATTTTTAAAAGTCCGAATATCGTCCCACAGAGATTGAGTAGTTTAATTCTATATAATCTAGCCTTATCCAAGTCTAATTGAGTGAAAATATGGTCCAAATGCAAAAAGCCCTAATTTCAATTAAAAACCCTAATTTCTCAATTAGGAACCCTAATCTCGAAATTTCTCTAATTAAATGACTCAAACACTCAAGTAAATGAAATCATGCAAATTCAAAAGCTAATTTATGGAAATGAATCAAAATAAAGTCACTAGGATCACGAATCCTCAATTGAAGCTATAAAAAGCCCTAATTTCAAAAAATCAATGACCCGATGGAAATTTGCCAATTCAATGTTCCTAAATCTATCCAACATATTCTCTCGATATATATTAGACCTATTCTTGCACACCACCAGCCTATATCTCTATGGATGATGCAAATATATAAGAATGTATGTGGTTTTGTGAACAATTAGAAAATTGCATAAAGCATAGGGGTATATCTCTATCCCCTATCGGACCCTATGTTGATTTACACCTTATCGAACCTATTCCACTTCTCTCAAATGTAAGAAATAAGTCATCAACACTCACACAATCATTGGCCACTAATTGCAGAAAAAAATCAATGCACATAAACCAATCAAATTGTCCAAACGAGTCTTTATATTAAAATCATGAAATATGGAATAAAAACAACAAACAATGGTTCATCGATCACCTAGTGAATTGAAAACCTAGCCTAGAATATTCATAATTACAGAATAAAAAATGAAATTAATAAATTGAAAGAATAGCACCCGTATGAAAATTTCTTGAAATCTTAAATAAAACCTTGAAAACCCGCTTGAATTCTTGTGGAATCGGCTTCAAGATTGTGTTTCTTGCCTCCAAAAGTTGTAATTTTCTTCACTGTGGACGTTCTACCCTATTTTTGATGAATTTTGGCTTTTATATCATGTCCTCACGGAACCCCGAAAGAGTTTCAATAAAAAACGCAAGTTCAGAATTTTTTTTTTGTTTTATATAGCCATGCGGCCGCATGGTGTTAAACCATGCAATCGCATGGTTCAAGTGAAATGGCCCATGGAATCCCTGCAACCTTCTGTGCGGCTGCATGGCACAGTTCTGTGCGGCCGCAGGTTGTAACTTTCAACTTTGTTGTTTTGGTCCCTGAACTTCGTTTTCTCTTTTCTTGATCTCTTTTCTTTCTTTCCTTTGTTCCATGATCAAATATTGACCCCTAATTGACGTTTGGGTCAATCAATTCCTTGATTACTTGCTCGGCTCATCTTTTGATTAATTACAATTTAGTCCTTCACCTTTCACATTTTTTCAATTCAGTCCAATATTACTTCTTTCTTCCTCCGATCATCTTGTATCATCCTCAAGCTCATACTTGGCACATTTTTATTCTCGTTCTGCACTTTAGCTCAACTTTCCAATATTTGCACCTTTGGTCCCCAAACTATCGCTTTGTTCCGTTTTGGTCCTTTTTCGGCTCTTTTCTTCTGAATTCCATCTTTTCCATAGAAACACCTACATTGCATGAATTTAATGAGATTAAGTTACAATTCAACTACTTTGTCCGTGTTTAAGTCATGTTTGTGAGCTAAATAAGTGTGTAAAAACACACTTATCAAATCCCTCAAACTCAAACTATTGTTTGTCTTCAAACAATGTAGTGACTTAATGCTAAACAAACATGGTTTAATAGCTTGCCGTGTCTCAGGATTGGAACTTGGTAATAATAATAGAAACAATATCAAAAGTGCGAGAATTGAATCAACCTTTACTCATCAAATGCAATACTCAACGTGTGTGTGTGAACTCATAGTGGTCAAATTTATCCTTACATCACTCGAGAGATACACAACCCCCAAATGTATTCTTTTCACTCAATTACTCCGGGGTGTATTCTAAGGTTAGGAGTTTAAACAATTTTAATCCTTACCCTCTATTAGTTTGAATAGATTTTACCATTACAAGTTCACATATCAACAAGTAGAGACTCTTCTTAATTTGATTGCTTCAACCTTTAGGATTAAACTAAGCTACTTGCCTCGCATCAAAGTTATAGTTTTATCAACCAAATGTCCAACAAGGGCTTTTTTTTGTGTGTGTCATCTTCTCATTTTCTTTCTATATAACCCATGTAACGAGCTTTAGGCTATGACTCCCAAACTAGTTGGCTTCAGGGCACCAGGTTTTAAACCCTTGCGGTCTTATTCACTCGAGTTATAAAGGCTCGATAAGATGACTTTTTATCAATTTCTTCCTTTTCTTGCTTTCTATATAACCCTTGTAATGAGCTTTAGGCCGATGACTCCCAAACCAGTTGGCTTTAGGGCACCAGGTTTTAAACCCTTACAGACTTACTTGCTCGAGTCATAAAGGCTTTTGAGAGAAGTGATGATTTTCCAATTTTTATTTTATGCCCCTTCTTTGTTTTTCTAGACATTTGACTTCCAAAACCATCCTCGACTTAAAGTTTTCACCTATTTCTCACCTTCCGGGTCTAAACAATCCACACAATATAATTTCATGCATGGAGTCCTCACTTATCTCCATGTTTCCCTATAATGGCTCAACCATCTCCAAACTATCTCAAAGTGGTATTACGGGTTAATTTTATAGAGCGTTGTTCTAGGTTTCTCCTACTTTATTCTAGAATTCCAATCAATAACTTAACACATGAAGCATGAGTGGCGTGCAAAAGAATGTCAAGCAATTCATCAACAAGTATTAGCAAATTAAATCCTGCACTAAATCCACAGTTTCTAGCTTATACATGTCCAATAATCACATCATAGCCGGTAAGGCTATCAAATCCACACAAGCATGCAAAAGTTCATCAAGACTCACTCATCAAGCATGCATCATGTAAAAACTTATCAAAATTAACAATGGATTGTGAATATGCAAAATAATTACATGCCAAATATTTGTTTGAAATTATGCTACCATCCCCCAAACTTATACAATACATTGTCCTCAATGTAAAATATAAAGTTAAAATGGCAGAATTTAAAACATGGACACAACTTGGCAATAAGAGATTAACAAAACTCCCCTGATTAATTCGATGGTTGTGGTGTGAAGTTGGGACCCGCAGCATCATCTTGAGGAGGAGATAGGAGGCGAGATAGGAGTTGTCTCAGCAACTCGGACTGCTGTGCTTGCTCGGCTTGAATGGCTTGAAGCCTACTTTCCATACTTCCCAAACGATCCCAAGTTTCGTTTACACGCCACTATATGCCATCCATTCTCCCAGCGTACATGTTGAACCTACCATTCATAGTCTCTACTTTCCTTCTTGCAGCTGTGACTTCATTTATAGCGCCTTTTGTGTAGTCTCGGGAGGAGTAGAGGTCTCTCTGCACTTTCTCAACAATGGTGGTCATCGTCTCGAACCTCTGCTGGAGATTTTGTATATCCCTGCTAGTTCTAGTGGCAGTGGCAAATATCTGTTGAAGTAGTTGTGAATCCATTTCAGCTGGTTGTGGCGGGGCTTGTGGCAGGTGTATATTT